GAGAGGTTGTGGAGTCTCCTTCTTTGGAGATCTTTAAAACCCGCTTGGATGCAGCCCTGTGCCACACGCTCTAGGTGACCCTGCGTGAGCAGGGGGGTTGGACTCGATGACCTCTGAGGTCCCTTCCAACCTTCGGCATTCTATGATTCTATGATTCTAAATGTCTCTTTTAAATATATCTTTCAAAAACTGATTTGGGGTTTGGATTCAGGGAAAGAATATCTGCCTTCCAGCACTCTAACAGGAAGTTGAAAGTCACAGATGACATAGCATGAAGGCCATAGGAGCTCTCAGTGCATCCTGCACTTCGGCTGCATCAGCTTCTCCCTACCACACTACTTGGTTTTGGACCCATTCCAAGCAGTGCTGTTCCAGTCACACAGTGAGCCTAGATACACTGCACAGAGCTCTACATTCACTTCAGCAGGTAGGCACCTTGCAAGCCAGGTAGACAGGGCAGTATCAAATATTCCAGAAAAAAAACTAAGGCAACTACAAAGGAAAAGGAAAGTGACACCTATAAACCCTCATTTGGGGGATTTGGATTCCTACAGGAACAATTAAGAAAATAATAAAAAAAATGCAAAAAGTACACAGAGCCTGACGTAAACCAGCATACTACCAGCAATCCCAGTGCATCTGGGCTGATTTACAGCAGCTGTGGAGCTAGTGCTGCACCTGACCATTTCACAAAAGAGAAACAAGAACCAGCCCCCCCTTACCTCTGGTAGTCTATGAGTTTTCTGAAACTGTGATATAGAGTAAGAACGGATGTAGTCTCCCATTTCTTCTCTAGTTTCTATTGCACGTTTCACCAGCCACTAAAAATAAGTTTATCATTAGAAAGAGGAAAAAAAACAACATCAAATCCCATCCCCAAATTATTGCATAATTATGGTTTTTATAATTATGTAGATGTAATATGCATTTCCAGCTATTACCTTCATATTTGCTATCATTATATATTTACACACACACTTAAATCATACGCTACAAAATATCAAGTAAATGAGTAAGCTACGAAACCACAAGACTGTCATCATAACCAAAGTTTTACCCACCAAAACTTAAAAATTCCTTGTCCTATTGTCAGTGACCAAAATACTGTTCATGTTACAGTGAGAGCCAACAGCCCAAAGAAGATGCACCTACTTTGCCGTATAAATTCCCTGGAGCAAAGCATGGATCTTATTAGGTATTCCCCCACAAAATACTTTTCTGAATTTTGTTTTGTAAATAACATACTGTGGAATTAGGTACGTTCATGTATGATTAGCTAGCTAGCATTGTATCTTCTCATGCACTGATTTTTTTTTAATTCTAATTCTTTAAAATCCTAATTTATTTCTTATAGCAAGTACTAAAAGAAAACATGTATGTTAAAGTGCTACTGCAAACCCAAGTACAAATATATTTACTTGACAAAATGATTTAAAAATAAAAACATATGAAATCATCACAATCACAAGCAAAAGCTCACTGKAATTTCGCCAAAACAGATTTCTGTTCTCAAAATATTTGCATCTCACACTAAGTTAATTACAAAAAAGGAAAATGAGACACATTGCTGAAATTGATCTGGGTCACTTTAAACAGTTTCTCTTTCATCTTGCATCTGTAATGGCAAGAAAAAAAAAAAAGGAAAAAAAGGAAAAAGAAAACCTGAATGTCCTTCCCAAAAGTGACAGCTGCATAAACTTTACCAGCTATCAAAAGAAAGCTACTGGTGAAGCCTGAAGTGCTTTAACAAAATATATTTCAACAGATTACATACTGCTATACTATCTATAGCATTCATTGTCATTACTTGTGAAGTATTAAACAYACAATATATACTACAGTAACATAGAAAAAAAATACAGTAATGCACAATGGTAGTTCATAGAAGAGTGGAACTTGAATTTTCTAAGTTTTTTTATTTTGTCCTCTGCCACTGAGCAGCCAGTATAGCCTGCAAAGCACCAGATCAGGATTTTGGCTGTACCAGCCAGCAAAGCAAACATCCTCCTCTACATGCAACCCCCTGAAAACACTACTGCACTTTACTTGCCATTAGGACCCAGCTTCTACCGAACATACTGTTGTTATGCAATAAATCCCAGGAAGTGTGCAATCTACAGTCTGTACACAAGAACATGTTTATCCTGGGCATTTATAGGGATAGCCRTCCCTCTGTACTTTGACGATGGCATAAACGGACACTCCAGCTGGCTTTTAGGCAGTCTGGGGGCAATGACATGAGCGCCTTTCTTTGAAGTCATCTTAAACTGTTCACAGCATCTACCCCTATCAGATGGAGTCAGGCAGTTGGGCTGGAGCTCTGCTGGACACTGATGAATTTGAGCAGAAYGTGCTGAGCCCTCCACGCCAAGGTTCAACACAGAATCCATCTTTTCGCTTTATACCACAGCACTCAGAGAGGAAGCCACTGAGGACATAACCTTACCTCATTTATCTTGGCTGCACACTAAGCAGGAGCCATCACAGCTACGTTCTCATTTCTATATAAATCATTATAATCATTTTTCTTTTTCAAGTGCTACAGCACCACCAAAAAGGCCAGACCTTCAAGTCCATGAACCACTCAAGAATCAAATGCTCATGTAAAATCTCTTTTGACATTTATAAGACCACACAAAAAGCCACAGAAGAGTGAAGTATATTTTTAAATAATTTGGGAAAAAAATAAATCTCACAGGCATGTCTGTGACAAGCCTTGCAGTGTCACATTTGACATGAGATCAATCACAGGATCCAAGCTTGAGCCAGCAAGAGTTTTCAGCACTATAATCATGAATTCCTTGAAAGTGAGGGGAATAAACTGAAAACAGGAGAGCTGAAAATGCTGGCTATTGTTTACAAAGCACTTCTTAGCATAAGATTACATATACACACTTTTCTTTGTAGACACAATCACGGTTTACTAGGTAGAACAGCATCATTTCTGCATATTGGGTTCCAGCTTGGCTCTGGATTAGTTTTTTATTATTATTTTATTTGCTACAGTATACAGCAGTCAACCAGCTCAATATAATCCAGGCTGGTAAGCAATCTGCAGCTAAATTCCTGCCTTGAAGTTCAGTGGATTAGCACACACAGCACGAGAGGTACCGGCAGACACTGCAGGACRGAGAAAAGAGCTTCCATATTATTTAGATTTGAGTTAATATATTATCCTTAGTGAAATCTTAATGAGCTATTGAGTAAAGTGTCATTATTAAATACAGAATTCCTAAATGCCATTGTGTAGTCAGCCTACTATAGCTCTTATATGATCTTACAGAACACAATCTACTGTTGACTATTTAACATACACCAACAAACCTAATATCTTTCTGGGAGTCCATCTTTATTAGAAAAAAAAAATGAAGAAATAAGAGTATCCAAGGCAGTTTTCCTCACCAAATACGGATTTTATGTACCACCTACTGGTCAGCTTCTAACATTGAGAGTTACTGCTCTCACAGAAATCTAGCAACTAATTTTCCACTCACAGATTAACATCTCTTCTTTCCAGAGGTAATACCCTTACTCAACATTTTGGAAAAAGCAGGACAGAGAAAAGAATACCTGAAGTTACAGAGTTTTTTTTTACAGCAGGAGTAGTATTTTATATTTCATTTTAGGAAAGGAATTACTTTTCAGGCATACCTGACAAGCCTTGTATTTATAACCAAAATCATTCAGTGTTACTATAAAGTAATTAAGACAAAAATGACTGGTGGAAAAGATTGCTAGGAAAATAGAAATCCAGATGTAAATTCACGTGGATAAGAGACACAACTTGCCATGCTATGCAGCACAAGCACAGCTTGTGCATAAAGCTTGAAAACTGCACGGCTTTATGTGGGGAGGGCAGTTTTTTTTTTCCTCAGGAACCTCCCACTAGAGCGTAACAGGAAAGAGAAAACAGGAAGGTTTCCCTGGTTCTTACAAAGGGGCATTTAGATCAAAGTTGTAGTTGCTAAATTCTCTCAGAGGAAAGAGACAACGAAACATTTACAGAAGTTTGTGAACTCTTGTTCATTTTCCCTACTTATCAGGGATGCATTTTCATGGGTAGATGAAAATGAAGTTTGAAAAAAGGTAATAGTGCATCAAGATTTACACACATTCTRAAAGACATCACACACCTGCTGAACACATCTCATGTACTAGCTTAACCTTACACCTTAAAAAAAAGCATTCATATCATTAGCACATCAGTGCGACAGTGTGATTCTGTTGCAGTGTGATACAAATGAAGAATAAAAATACATGCTTAATTAGGCCAAAAGAGTCAAAACCATACGGCATTTAAACTTATTCCTATCCTCGAGTTTGAGTGACTGCAACTTACTCCATGTACATAAACACAGACTGTACTTGCTGCAGTTCAGTCTGGCAAAGTAGATTAGCAGATTCCAGGACAAACATAAACTTTTAGTTTCTCTAAGCAGACAAATTCCACAAGAGGCAGACTCTGACTCAGCTGCAAATAATTTAAGGAGTTATTTCATGTTTTTCTTGAATGTTGATCAGATAAAATTCCTATCACTAAAATAAGGGCAGTTTAGAGGGTTTTGTTTGTTTTGCTTTGTTTTTAAGAGTATTTCTCTTTATTTGACCTTGGAATGAATAATCAAAGAGCCTAACAGCTGCATAGATCTATGTTAAGTTGTTTGGTCTCTGTTCAGCAAAGTGTTGATAAACAATAAAATGGTTACCTGTACAACCGGAAATATATGAATGAAATCCAATCCCTGAATCTGATGTGGTTCCAAACGATGAGGACACTTCATTTTTGGTAATACTGATACAATTTTTTCAGTTAAGGCACTATTTAAAAAAAAAAAAAAAGAAAAAAAAGAAAAAGAAAAAAGAAGACACATTCATCTACACTATAATTTTATAAACATTATTTTTGCAAACAATTAGTAGTCTCCTCTATTAGTTTAAATTGTATATTGCTGTGAAAAGCAGCCAAGCTTTCACACAGAATAGCTTTTAATTCACATTGTATATATCAACAGTATATGAAAATGATTAAACCTCCTTTACAGGCTTATAGCTCATTACTGCATTTACATCATTACACAAATTTTAATATCTGCATATTCAGATAAAATGTCCATGTTCATTATATCTACAAACACCTTTGCATATTGCAACATGTGAACACATAAGAAACTAGTTTCTATGGTTTCAAGTATGGTTATTTTGAAATAAAATATGTAGACTTCATTTCTATTCTCTGTTTGATTTTGTATCTTTAACAACACTTTATGTAATTAGCTAACCATGATACGGAAGTGACTAAATCTAATGGCAGGAGAGAAGATGGAAGATGACTATTTTTAACAGCATCAATCTTGCTGATGCTAGATGATAGTCAARGTATGACAGTAAGGCACAATTTTAAATTTACAGTGAGAAAATAAACCTCTTCATAAAACTGCAACTTGACAGGCTGTTCTTATTTCTTGCTATTTCATTACAGACCTACATCAAGAAATACTGTATTTTGGAATGCCTTCTCTTTCTCAGCATAAATGATTTTCACAGCCTTTCCCACTACAGGAATTAGTTGCCTGACGGAATGCCTTTCTCTCCTTAGCATTAATGGTTTTCACAGCCTTTCCTAATAAAGGAATTAGTTGCCTGGTTCCCTGCATAATCAGGGAAACCTTATCAAACCAAAAAAGTGTCATTAGGTTACTAGCATGAAAGAGTTCCTTTTTCCCAGTTTGGGACAGATAACTGCTTACACTACAGGGTCATGGTTTAGATTGCATATTACAATGTCTACAGTTTCAAAACAGGAAAGAGAAAAAAAGGAAAAAAGATCAGAGTTTATTTCACAGAGTAAAAACTGCAGCTGGAGGGAGCTCAAGGAAGGTCACTGCTGTGTTCTAGTTTCCAGCAGCGTGGAGACTCTCTGCCCTTTGCTTTGGCTTTTGCATCATTACTTTGTGCCAGCACAAGCATCTGTGCAGATGTACAGAAAACTGGATCCAGAAACTGATTCATGTTGAAACTATTTTTGSTAAGTTTTTACCTGGATCGGTTCCCAGTGCAGTTTGCTGTGTTGCCACATAGATGCTTTCACTGCAGAGCAGGGGCATGAGAGCTGGGTAGCCCAGTAGGTGATAATGTTACATTTTTTTGAATAAGTTTTTTTTACAATTTCAGTGTTTGCAAAACTATGGTATGAGAAAAGAGTGCATTTTTTATAAACACAGGAGAATTCTATTAAAAATCCTTCTTAAAAACAAGCAAGTAGTTGGTATCTCTCCTCCTGTTCCCTCTTCTTTTCATACCACCAAAAAAAGGTATTTTGGCAACTTACATCTTTTGACCAATAGTAGAGTTTTCCTGAAACAATAAATCAACGTCAATATCAAAGCTGCAAGTAGTGATACACCACGTCATGCCACCTACCACCTAGCAAAGGAACAAGAGAACTGTTAGTTCATTTTACAGCTGAAGACGTTAAAAAAAAAGTGCATCCAGATGATATTATTTATTCTAGAGAAACTATTATGCATATTTTTATGACAGTATAAAAGGGTGTGTGTTTTTATATAGATACATCAACTTTCACATACAATACACCTCTTTGGGATGGGAGGTAAAAATAATTTAATAATGTTTTAAATTACCCTCTTAGTTTTGAAATAGAACTTTCAGATTTAAAATAAAAAATAAAACAGAGCTGTGTAACTTCCATGATCATTAAAAAGTAACCAAATGAACAAGATTATTTTTATTCGTATATTTAACAAAACTTCTATTATTCTTTGCATGCTTGTCACCTGACACACCAAGTGCTAGGCATTGCGCACACACACACAGCAGAAGAAATTCCTAGCTCTGAAACTCTCCCTGTCAGGCCCTATTCTCACAGGTATTTTAAGCATATTTAAGCACCTGAATCATCTCATCAACTTTATATAAAWTATTTGGGTATTTGAAGAGAATCTTAAAGCATAAAACATAAATGAACAGTGAACAAACCAGGAAAAAGAGATTCAATGTGTGGAGCRACTTACCAACATCACACAAGCTTGGGTGCTCTATATACAGTTTTATAACACCCATTATCTCTTTCACAGAGACATCTAATCAAGTTAATCAATGCCCCTTTGCACATTAAGGGCCAACACATTTTCAACAGCAACATTACAAAAACAAGCAATTGGGCATTGTCATATGAAACCCTACAAATACAAACCCAAAGCACCCCTTTCAGCAAATAAAAGCATTAAAACTACTATTTATATCTGAGCTCCCTGATCACTTAGGGCCTGCAATGTTAAGTGGTTTTAAGAAACTAAGGCTGCACTGCTGTGCTATGACCAAGGAAGCAAGGGAAGACAGAAGAGCCCATTTCAAAGGCTCTATCATACTTCTGTGTTTTCAAAGCTTGGCTTAAAAATTTTCCTACATCAGCACAAAAACAGTGAGGAAACCTCTCACGCCTAACTCTGCTCAMTAGCAGTATTATATACTTCCTGCCTAGGAAGGACAAAAAAATGTTAATATACAAAACACTGAAAAGATGAAACAATAGCCCTCCAAAATAATCCAGGCTAATTGTTTTGTTCTTTCTCAGAGTCTCTCAAGATAAATCTTTCTCCGCTTACTATTTAGAATAAGTATTTCTTAAAAATAAAAACAAACAAAAAACCCCCATGYTATCTCTAAACATTATGTCTTTTAACTATTCTAACTGCAGACAAGTGAGAAGGGCAAAATCCTCAATATACCATAAACATATTCTATAATTCCCAGAACAAGTACACCAAAATATTTCAAAAAATATTCCACCCAAACATCCTGAAAATAGGCTTTTAAAAATACTACATCGGTCTACCTTGTCAAAGGGTGATAATCCTTTGATTCTTGCTCGAAAATATCCAGCAGCCACCAAGAGTTCCAAAATTTCTGCCAATTTGATGTTTTGTTCCTCATCTTCTCTTGTTTCAACCTAACAGATGAACAAGTTAATATTCAGCGTTTCCCCTTCATTATTCCAGTAGTTTCCAACAACTGTTCTCCAAATTCTATCTTAACACAGACCACATGTCAGAGAAACTCCATTGACTTCCATTACCAGTGTGGTCATTAAACTGAAATAAAAATACAGGGCAGCAGAGAACACGTTTCTGGGTGGATTTGGTGTCACCTCACGAGCACCCAGCGAAGCAGCGCTATCGCTTTCACTGCTCAAGCTCCTGGTTCACAGCTTGCCTTCAGCTGGATAAATGAAACCAGTGGCGCCTATTAATGKGGGCGATTTTAGGTGAATCAAGGCAGTTAATTCTCCCTCAGGAGGCGCTCCGGCCGGGGGGCCCCGGGCTGCGGGGCTCCCTGCGGGCACCGGGCGCGCCCCAACGCCCGCCCGGGGCCTCCGCGTCCGCGGCTGCGGAGCCTCCCCGGCGCCTCCCGCCGCTCCGCAGCCTCGGCTCCCCCAGACGTGTCCTCTGCGCGGGCACCGACCCACGCGAGGTGACCTGCAAGGGCGCAGCCCGCTCCGCAAGCCCCCCAGGGACCCCATGAGGCGAGGGGGAAGCGGCGCAAGGGGAGCGTGGCGGCCTCCGCGCTGCCCGGCGCAGAGGCGGCGAGGAGAGGGGCACGAGCCGGCAGGGGCGCCGCGGGCAGGCGGCGGGCGCGCAGGAGAGCCCTACCTCCTGCGGGGCCTGGTGCTCCGCTCCGCCGGGCGCCGCCATGCCCCGCTCCGCTCCGCGCCGCGGCGGCCGGCGCCCCGCAGCCGCGCCTGTCACGTCCGCGCCGCGACGCCGCGGCCGACGGGTGCTCCCGGCCGACAGGCCCCCCCCGCCCGCGCTCAGTGGTTCGTCCGCGCCCGCCTTGCGCGCACGCGCGTCCGGGCCGTGCCATTCGCGGCCAAGGGGGTGCCGGGGCAGAGGGAGGGGCGGGGGCTCCGCGGCGGCTCACGTGACTGCGCGGAGCGCAACGGCCGGAGCGACGCCCCGCCCCTCCCCCCGCGCGGCCCCGCCCCCGAGTGTCCCGCCTCCCCCGGCCCAACGGTCGCCGGGCGCTCGCCCTGCTGCCCTGCTCTTCCTSTATCCGTTATTTATTTATCTGTTTATTTCCCTGGGGAAGGGGAACTGAGGCCTGTGGCCGCCATGGAGGATGCTTGCTCAGGGCTCCGTGAGCAGAGAGCTGTCTCGCAGCTCCCGTTGCCCCGTTAGTTGCCATTAGTATTCTCTCCGGTGATCAGTAAAGTAGCAGTCGGTGGGGATTAAAGGGTGTTTTCTTTCACGGCTCTCATCCTCAGGGACCTTTGTCCCCGGTTCCTGAGTGCTGCTCCAAGGCTCTGCTCTGGCAGGAGCGGTGACATTTCTTCTTCTTCTAGATGCTCCTTGTGTGCGGGAGCCCTTGGGTGACGTTACGGTGGGTTTGCAGGGCTGGGAAGGTGCTCGTGAATGCTGACACCCCTCTCTGTCCATGGATATCATGAATAAAACCATCCAGATGCATGAGGGTTTACAGGGCAATAACAGCCCAGAACAAACTCATCACTGCCTGGGGGCAGCGTAGCTTTTCTCATTAAAAAACACCTCAGAAACAGCGATTTTCTTTTAAAATCTACCCCACATATTCAGTTCCTAGGCTGCTTAGCGCACATAGAGCACTATAAAAAATTGGCGCTGTGCTAGGCTGCAAGTCAAGACCCCTCTCAGGTGAAAGAGCAGGAAAAGCAGCGCCAGGGTCTCCTCCCTCCGTGGGAGGGCAGCAGTGCGTGCACAACCAGACAGCGCCATCAGAACAATAATAATAAAAGCAAAACTATGCCAGACCAGCTCAGGCTGAGGACTGGTGTAACCACAGGCCATGTCTTAATTAGGGTTGCAGAAACTGCTACGCAGCCCCAGAGGCTAACATGCTCACCAGAGCAACGCGCTCTTTCTGCTTTTTGTCTGGCGTGCTTTCTACTCACGGAAGGCTATAAGGCTCTAATTTGTTTGTCAGGGAGAGGGAGACTGGAAATAAAGACGGAAAGAGGAAAAGGGTAGTTGAAATGGAAGGCTATTAGGAACTGATGCACGTGCCCTTCCGAGCGGCCGGCACATCATGAAATGTAATTACTGTAAAGAAACATCAGCCCAGAAACAGGACTCCTGAGCTCTGGTACTGCCATAGGATTCCTTTTCTGAGAAATGTGTAGGAATTAATGAATAAATAAATAAATAAATAAATAAATAAATAAATAAATAAATAAGCAAGCAAGCTCAGGGTATTGTAAACTAGAAGCTTAGATAGTAACCACATATCAAATGGGAAAGTGTCTAAGCTACCCTGGAAAAGTCACTATTTCATTGACTTCTTGAACTATTTCTTTAGGAAAAGAAGGGAGACGGGACAAAATAAGTCCTGTGGAGTTTACAGCCCATATAACCGGCACCCAAAACTACAAAACTGGCTTAAAATTATATACTTAAATGTAATAGCTTTTCTTTTCTTTTTTTTTTTTTTTTTTTAAGGTTTGTTTTTCTGTCCAGAGATCTGCAAAGATTTTTCTCTTTTACAGTGAAGGCTGGGGTTTTCATTCACATGGGATATGGCCAGGAAATCAAAAAGAAAGGCATGAAAATACAAAAGGGTATCTCTACTGTCATTACAACTCATCTTTGATTACTTGAACCTCAATAAAATGCACAACAAAGGCTTTGCTTTCCAATCCCTAATTATGATGCAAATTCACCTGATTATTCAGTCAGAGCTGTTGTCCCCTATGACATTCAGATAATCAAGCTTCTAAAGTACCAGTTAGGTTTAAAAAGAAGTCCCAAGAGAGGTACAGCCTAAAAAAAGAAAACCTTTTTTTYCCCACTCAAATCTTTATATTTTGAGTTTGGAAATTTCTAGCAGATTTAACTTTAGTCCTGTTTTTTTTCCCTCCATTGCTCTATTTTGTCAAATTCTGGATTTTGGTGCAGCTGCTTTGAACAATCATGTCTTGATTTTTCCATCTCATTAATCTTGAGCCTATGAGGCTGAACTAAAGAGCTTCCTCCCTGTTTATAGCCACACACTTTAGTTCACTGTTCAGCCTGAATTTCTGATATCAGACTCGGTTACCACTGAATGCAGAAATTAGGTTTCACTGTGTCTTGTAGCACGTATTTGCTTTTTCTCATAACGCCAGGAGTAAAAGATGAGATGTGGTTATAGCAGCAGCAGCAAGGGCTCCATTCTTTATTGGCTTGGCACACTTAATGAGATAGTCTTAAATAATTTTCCAATGATCTTTATGCTGAGGAGGCCTAAAAGATTCATTTTCATAAATTCTGTGCATCAGATAAAGATAATTAAAACTTCCTGCATTCATACTGCACACATTCCTCTAAATGCGAAGGTTTCCTAACAATGATTTCATAGGATTCAGAATCAAGCAAAACATCACCTGTATTTGAAGCTAATTTTTCATCTTTTTTAATAAGCATATTTTTCCTCTTCAGATTGGTTACTTTCTTACATATTTTGCTTCAGCATTGCTGTGTCCCTCAGTTTCTAGAGTTCTGCTGTTGACTTCAGTAATGATATAATTACATCTTCGGAGTTTTATTCCTAATTTGAAGAGAAACTGGAGCCAACTATAGCAGAATGAACCGAAGTCAATATCTTCTCTCTCTTTTTTTTTTTTTTTTTCTTCGTTGATTTCATGTCTCAGTCTTCAGGTGAGCTCTCCTTTCATCCCATTTCCTTGCCTAAGATCTTGGCAGGGATTGTTTCTGTTCTGATCCCTAATGGAGTGATTTCTGCCCCAAAGGCAGGTACCTAGATTTCCAGGATGAACGGGGCTGCCAAGTAGAGCAGCAGTGTGTTCCTGTGCACACATGTACTGTTCTTTATTGTAATTTGGACTGTAACTCTCGAGAAGTGTCTCCTCCTCTTGCTTGTGTCCACTTATTCAGGCCTCCTTGAGCTCATTTCTCTGATTTTCACTTTGGTGTGGGAKGTCTAAGGTTCACATCTTGGTCAAGCCCGCACAGTGGCACACACTGAAACACTAAAATCCACTTAAATTCCACAAGAAAACACTGCTTGACTGCAAGGATGCTTAAGCACTGGTTGCTCAMAGAGGTTGTGAAGTCTCCATTCTTGGAGATACTCAAGCCCTGACTGGCCWCAGCCCTGGGCAACCTGCTGTAGCTGCCCCTGCCTGAGCAGAGGGCTTGGACCAGGCGGTCTGCAGAGGTGTCCCTGCCAACACCAGTGTCATTCAGCTGCTGCTTAGGATGTGGTTGGCGTGAAGGGTCATTTGGCAGGAATTGCAAATTCCCAGTTATCATCCGTGAGACTCTGTGCACTGTGAAATGGAAAAGACACAGACCTCTGACACTCACCCTCATGCTAGAGGCTGCAGCAGACCACTGCATCCCAGCAGACGGGCTGACATGTTCTGTAAGATATTCTGCACCTTTGTAGCAATCACAGATGACATTAGCGATGTTTTAAACACATCTGCTATCGCATCCACTTAATGGTAGTGGATAGCAAAGGGTCATGCAATAGTTACCTTTTTTTTTTWAAGCAGATGAACAATAAAGATTTTATGGCCTATGGAATTCAGAGAGAATAAAACAGTCTAACAGCAAAATTGCTGATGTTCTAGTAAAAAAATTAACTACTCACTCATGGTCTGCACAGGCTAAAGGTGGCAAAACTGTGGCTGATCTCTACTTTCTTCTGTGAAAGCAAGGAAGTCAGTCTGGAGAAGACAACAATATTGTGACCAAATAGCTCATTAAGACTGAAGTTTTATCTGACTTCTCTTTTGTGGTGTTGTGATTTTGGCCATGCCAMTCAAAGTCTCTGGTCAGGATGTTCAAGTGGGTAATAATTTTGGGGGCTTTGATTTCAGAGAAATTTATGAATGACTTGATTTTCAGAGCATACCTCATGTGCCTGCTTTGAAAATCAGGCCACCACCATTGAGTCCCCTTGCCTGGGAAACATCCTCATGGAGAGAGTAATTTGTGTTTGTTGCAGCTAAGTGGTGCAATTGAGAGAAAAGTCATTCGTTTTCTCCTCTCTGGCCCTCAAAATTATTTCTGGAAATGTTTGTTAGGTTGTTATTATCTGTATTAATGACTCATAATAAGCATTAAGTAAATCTTCACAGCTCTTTTCTGGGCCATTTTTTTCTGCAGAATAGCAGAATTCCATGGAGTTAATGACGGAAATTCATCACGAAAGCCAGAAAACACACAGGCAGTCCCGACAGATCCCCTGAAACTGAACACCTGGCTCTGCTTCCTCTCTGCCCTCCTTCCCTCTGGGGTTCTGCCCGATGTGGCTGGTGGCCCAGGAGCTTTTTCTGCGTGGTAGCAATGGGCAGCTCTCTTTCTGCATGGGTCACATCACAAAGTCCAGGTGAGGACAGACCCGTCACCCACTGCCACTTATCCATAGGGAAGTGTGCTCGGGACAAAACCATTACCCATTTCTTGTAGAAGTCTCAGGGCATCTGTAACTGATATGGCCAGGAGTTCATCTATGCAGAAATGAGGCTGGCATTTCATGAGTCACGTAACCCATGGAACAATTAATTAAGTCTGAGTCACAGAGCCTTTACCTGCAAAGGTACAAAGAAAATCAGAGCAATTGCACTGTGCGTGCGTCATGTAGCCCTCCTGTTTGGGCCAGGATATTAAATTTCACATTACAGCTATGTTTGTGATGCTAGCACTAGGAAGAAATGTTTTGTT